TAAAATGCTCGATGCTTCTGCTGAACTGGAGCCATCCAACATTTGAGTTTCTCATTACGTGACCAGTTAACCTTCTCTAAGGTAAACTGCTCAAAACAATTCTTGCAAAGCGTACACTAAAGGTAATAATTTCAGCTTTCCAAATTATCATTGGTAACAGAGAATACAGCAAATTTTCAGCAAATTTCCGAGAGCAATGCCTCTCTCCTTCAGGAAAAACAAGTAATCATATCCTTGGGTGCAGAAATTCAGAAGGTCCAAAGATTCATTCTTCCTGTCATCAAGTAAGAATTGATCATGGTGTCATACAGGCTGTGCCCAGACCTTCACCTCCACCAGGCACTAAGAAGCTCAGGAGGACACAGAAGTGGAGTGCTGAAGGTAACTGCCTCAAAAAACTATTAGTATTCTGATATCTCCGTATTTTCAACCTCACATAGCTTTTTGCAGGTCCAGCCATTTTCTAACAGCTACTGCCTAGCTCTGTGTGAACGGTGTCGGCATTTCTACACAACAGCAAGTGCCTTCCTGGGCCCCTCTCGTATTTTCCCCCCTTGGTAACTCACACAAGAGTATCTATACTTTGTGTCACGTTTCCAGTAGAGAAAAATTGCCACTTTTCCTTCTGAGACAGAGCAGCTAACATAAGAGGAAAAAAGGAAAGCTTAGTTATCAAGGTTTTTTGTTTGTTTTTTGTTTTAAATAACCAATCCTAAGTCAAGCACAACTTAAAAATAACTACTCCTTAATAAAGTTTATGTAGAGGAAACTGGGATTCCCTTGCTGCTCCCATGGACATTTCTCCACCAAACACACCACAGACTAAAAAAAAAAACCACCCTTAAATATAAAAACAAAGTCTTACTTCCTTCAATGTGAGCCTGTGGGTTCTTATAGAGATGTTCAATCCGTCCTGTATTAAAAGAACTAGACCGACGAACGATGCCGTGCACCTGGGGATTGAACAAGGAAAAACACAAAAGGAAAGTGGTCAATATTGAGAGGAAAGCGTCCGTCATCATCGTCGCTCTTTTCATATCCGTGGGCCTCACCCCTATACCAGTTAATCAGAACTCGTCTCTATTCCTAAAGATAGACAGTTATCCAAATCATAACAGAATACTTGGAGATTAGCTCTGATGCTGTCATTTATTTCAGTACCCTTGAGTGGTTTCACCTTCTCCCTCGACACCACTAGCAGCCCAAGCATCACACACAGGACAGAAAACCCACTGAATTGCCCTAGAGCACCCAGTGAGCAAGACTTGCCAACGTCACTGGAGTCGGAGAGGCAATATATAAATCCCCAAGACAACCACATCTCCCTGGTTGCAGAGAACTCTTTCTGGAGCCAGAGATGATGGGCATGGAAAAAAAGCAGCAGCAGAAAATGGGGCTAGCGAAAGGAGAGAGGGGGCAGAGAAAAGGGAAGAAAAAGACAAGGGGAAAGAAGTGACAACAGCTGCAACGTCCAAATGTGTTTTAGAAAACAGCTGTTTTTCACTTTCTGGGGTGTTGGAAGAACAGCCAGAACAGCCAGAGCTGTTTTGTGCACCTCATGAGTCAATGTTCTCCACTGGGCTACAAGACACCCAGGCAAGCCTAAGGCCGAAACTCAGGTTGGTTATTTTTTTCAACCAGCCACAAGAGCAGCAGTGTCAGCAAAAAAAAAAAAACCCACTGGTTCTAACTAACATTAAAGAAAAGCCTGTTTGTGTCTAATACATCAGAGAAACTGTTCCAACACTGATCCCGTCTCCTCCTCATGTAAGATAGCCCCATGCCTGCTGCCAAAATTCACATTAGGTTACCTGCTGCAGAAGTTGTGCTTGCACAAGTGAAATCAAGCTTCAGCATCTGACAGCCCTCCACTTCTCCCTCCCTTTATTTCTGGAAGTGAACCCTTTATTTCTGAAAGCGAACCCTTACGCTTTGATGCATCCTACGCTTGGTTGCATTGGGCCACTACTTTACACTCTCACTTCATGTTAACTTCTACCTGTGAGAACACACCAGCAGGAACAGGCAGCGTTTGGGGATTTTTATTTTTACACAGAGCACAAGCTACGGTTATTGACCCAAAAAACACTTTTTATTCCAACTTAACCGAGCAAAAAGGTGTGCGCAACCACAGACTGAGACCAGTTTGCTACTCCAAGAATGACATTTTGGTGGCAAGATCTCTAGAAACAGCTGAACAGCTTCATCTTTACAACTTGCAAGTCAAATTTATGACACCAATTTCCTTGCATAAAATCTCTTGTGCCCAGGCTCACAATGTACCTTGTTCTACAATTCAAACGCTAAACTTTCCACAACTGAGTAACATATTTGCATTATGAGGATCAACGGGGAACCGTACCTTGTTCTACAACTCAAATGCTAAACTTTCCACAACTGAGTAAAATATTTGCATTATGAGGATCAACGGGGAACTGAGAAACTTGGCCCCTCAAAAGCAGCTTCCATCAAATAATGAATTTATGAACATAAATTTTCAAAGTTATGCAGTTAAAAGCCCCATCAAAATAATTATTTACAGAATCTGTGGATAATTTATAGAGACATAGGGTTTACAGAGAACCACTTTCAAAAAAGGACACTTCCATAACAACTTCAATTTTGCAAAAGATGCTGGAAATGTTTTGAGCACTCAAATTAACATCTGCTTTGCTGAGTAAAAAATCAGACTTTGCAGTTTTAAAGCATCGAATTATTTTAAAGAAAGCTAACAGAGGTAATCTACAACTCTTCTAGCAAAATCAAATATTTTAGCTTGAAGTCCTGACGAGAGACTTCTTGAGCTCTCAATTACCTATCTCTGAATGAAGTCATGCTGAAATTCAAGTTCACGCAAACAATTGACCAAGAAGTCAAATCCTGCCAGCTCAAAGCCTGATGAAAGAGCGTGCTTGCAAGAGCTTTGTGTCAGCGGAATGACTGTGATACCAACATTTGACCAACGCGCTGTGCCAAATGCGATCACCTCAGGACTTCAAAAAGTCTCAGCAAACAAATCCAGAGAGCCTGTTGCATCCAGTGGTAACAAGAAAACATGCAAAGCCAGCTTTTCTTTTTTTTCCCCCTTTTTCTTTCCTCCCACTCCTTTTTCTGGTATGCACACACAAGAGAAAAAAAACCTGCCAAATGCTTAATCCATGACAGCTACCTTACCCTAAAAAAACCTGATGAAAAGTACCTTTGTCTGCATGGGACAGGTGAAATGCAAACTTTGTGACAAGCCAAAAATGTGTGCAAACTGGTTAATCTAGTTTACAATGTGGGATCTGTGGATTTTTTTTCTCAACAGGGCTTGATCTTTAAACGGATTGAAATTTTAAAAAAGTCCAACGAACCACCTTCGTTAGGGAGGCAATCAGCGATCACATGTACTCTTGTGTTCAGGTATTGAGGAACGGAGGTCTCTAGCTGGGAACACAGGAAATCATTCCAACAAATAGATGGAGAGTTGAGGATCAGAAAACAAACCCTCTACACAATTATTGTCACCTTTCTACCGTGGAAAGGGTTATATTTCCTTTTAGCTGCAGCTAGCTCTTCCCAATTTCATTATGGACTAGGACAGAGCATGTGGGTTTGCCTTTAAAGTAGCAGAAGCAACCACAATGATACCTCCCTTCCACAAATGGAACGGATAAATCGTAAAAATAATCAATTTACAACACTGAAAAACCAACACCAATAAGCAGATCAAAGCAGAAGAAAGGATGGAGTAAGCAAGGCGAGTTTAAGCACGTGCAAAAGCATGGGAAGCACAGAGTGGCTGAGAAGAGACTTCTCACTAACCCATGAAGCAGTATTACAACAGAAGAAATAAAGTCCAATATTAGAACAAGCATTAGTTTTCACTAAAAACACAGAAAATACTACATTGAGGAGAGATTAGTCTGATCACCCCTTTCATTCTATTATCACACATTTCGAAGCATCTTTCTTGACTGAGAAGGCAAACCTTCTCACATATATGCCCACAACAGTCCATAACCATCAAATTATACCATAACAATGTGATTGTTGCTTTGCTGGACCACAAAAAAAGCCTCTTTTGCCATAGAAAAATATGCAGCAATAAGTAAGGAATCACACTCCCTTTGTGTTAAGGAAAAAGTAAATGAAAATCATGTGCTAAGCAAGAATATAATTAATCTAAGAGAAAGAGTGGAAAGTAACACTACCAAAATATTTTGGGGCATTTCAGGGTTATTTTTTTTTTTCTTTTCAAACAGAGAAAGCAAAATGCAAGGTTTTCATTGCTGAAGTATAACTGCCAAAATAAAAGGGACTTTAGCGTGGAGAGGGAGGGAAGGAAAGAGAACAAACAAGAGATTCTTATTCCTTTCTGTGGTATATTGCATCATAAATTATTCCCTAATTCCTTACAGTTTTGGCTCACACGGATCGCTGCTTATCTGAGTTGGCGGGAAACATGCAAAGCAGTTTTACCCTGAGGAGAAGAGGGAATCCACCAGTGGACATTAGATGATAAATACTACAATAAGCTGGCATGATTACAGGCCATGTTGCACATTCCTCTCCGGACTTTTGATTTGTTATCTGGGGCTGGAGTGGAAAACATACGCAGGGAAGGACAGAAGCAGAGGAAGCTGGAGCTGCAGCATCCAAACGACTCCATCAGCCAGCAGCCGTTCACCGAGTCACTCACCTCGTAGCCTTTTTCCAGCAGGAACTCAGCCAAGTACGATCCATCCTGGGAAGAGTAAGATAGAGGAAAATGTCAGAAACACAGCGAATGGGACTGGGAGGTTTGGACCGCTTAAGGTCTCAAAAAAGGGAAGAAAAAAGAAATTGCAGTGAGTTGACCGGGTAACCAGCATATACTTCGATTTCTACAGATTTATATACTGACCTAAAAATACTATAGAAGTTTTTTGGTTAATTTTAGATTAAGCAGCAGTATATTTTAAGATAACTTGCTTACAAATGCTCGTTGAGGACTCCCGTCTCTTGAATCTCTTCCCAAGCTCCATTATAAAGTGCCTGGGGACATCTTTCCAAAATATTCCAACAACAGTTACTGAATTTGAACTATTTTGGAGATAGGGAAGGAAAAGTATTCCAGAAAACCTGGTGCAAGCCTGGCATACTCTGCAAACCAATGTGCCTCTGTGGCATTGTGTCACACTCACGTCTCCCTTGCACACATGTTCCTTCCAGAAGCCACCTGAAGGCAGCAATGATTCTGCTTGCCTGACCAATTGAGTTTTCAAAAACTTCCCTATATGCCCTATATTTATGCTACAGAACACAAGCCATTTTCACATATTTATATGATTTTGAGGGTTGAGAATTTGGGTTGTTTTGCTTTGGGTTTTTTGGTTTTGGTTTTGTTTTTTTTTTTTTTTTTTTTTTTTTTTTTCTGTTTTTTTTTTTTTTTTCTTTTTTATTTTTCCTTTTAATTCCTTGTCAAGCTTAAATTATTAAACTCCCAAAAAGCAAATACTCCAAAACGCATGCTAGGGCATGCGTTCCTGAATTAAGACGACTCTCCTGGCATCACTATTGCCAGGATTACCAAATACAATAAATCATATTATGCTTATAAACGTGTAGGCACCACCACAAACCCAGCAAAGTTTACCCCTCCAGAAGAATGCTCGCTAACCAATTCACTGAACAATACCCATGTCCAAAGAGTCTGCATGATTTCACTGACTTTTTGAACTGGTTCTTCCTTTAATATGCAGGAGTGTTCCACCAGAGTCCATTGAATTGCCACAGAAAGACCATAGAAACATGAGATGCCACCTATGCTTACATGCTTAAACTCTCTTATGTGGGTCTGCTCCACCACAGTCACAGCCAGAGACATTTAAGTGCAAAACTAAACAGGCATCTCTTTGGTTATCTTTTTAAAATCATGTTTTGCCGGAGAAGAACTTCTCACTTCAGATGAAATGAACTTTTCTTGTCTCACAGACAGTCTAAGGAGAATAACACACTTAAGTAAGAAATTTGAGATGCACCAGGAGGCCCTACAGCAGCAGGAGTGCCAGTGGAGACCGCTTACCTACACTGATAGCAAAATCATGTGTAAGTCCATGCAAAATGGCACGGTGCAGTGTACAAGGGGCATGTTGCTGTATGCCTAAAACTGCAGCATTGGAAAAAATGAGTCACTTTATGGTATCAACATTTCACAAATCCTTACAAAACATAGAAGAGCTTGAAACCAAGAAAGAAAGTCTCAGCTTACATACTTCTCCCACTACACCTGTATGTGCGTGTTCACATAGCTTTACAATGCCATAATCCGACAGTCATCAGCCTAGGACACCGGTTGATCAGGAACTTGACAACTCACATGTGTCACAGCATCACTAGAACAGCAAGTATTTCTGTGCATCAAATGAAAAGAACAAAAACTTGACAACTCACATGTGTCACCGCATCACTAGAACAGCATGTATTTCTGTGCATCAAATGAAAAGAACAAGGTCCTACTGAAAGGAGAAAATCAAAGAATACGCAGTGGAAACTCTGGAAAAATATGGGAAGAAATCAGGGGATGACAACTACCTTTAATGTAGTTGTCAACTTTTCCATCAGTAATTCCTCCAGGATTTAGCAAAGGTGGATCACAGGGAGGAAAAGTTCCCAACTCTCCCTGGTTGCTCAGTCCACTAAAATAAAGAAATACACAAAATATAAAGGAGATGAAAGTGGGAGACCCGTAGAGTGCAAAAGAGATGAAAAAAGAAAGGCTATGACTACTTAGGAAGTTGATGGGAAACAGACTTGACTAGGATTGAACCCTGTCAATAAGGTCTTGTTCTTCTCACCCAGGCCATTGCTCAAACTTTCCAGTCGCCCTGGAACATTCTGAACCAGCAGTGGCACTGGCTTCCTCTGCGCTTCCTTTCCAGGTCTGTCAAGTGATAGGGCAGGGCTTGACAATGAGTGGGAAACAGGCAGCAAGTGTGAAAGCTACTGGTTTCTGGCTCGAGCACGGCACAGCTGATTTACTGTCTGGTAATCACGGAATCATGCTGTCCTGCACCGAGATACCGTATCGCACACGGCCCCCAGGTTTCACATTTCCCTTCCTTTTTTTTTTCCAGTACTGCAGCTGTCAATGCAAACGGCAATCGGAGCAGCAATCAGTGTCAAAGAGTTTGCAGCTTGTAAGGATAGTACAGTTTCCATCTTTTCCTAATGAGGTCAAGGAGTAGATAATATTAAGTAAGCTCTATTAAGTGATTTAAACCTTTATTCATAGGAGACTGTATTACACATATAAATTCTGTTATCAAAGCTATTGATTTCCATTTAAACTAGAAACAGAGCTTTCAAGATTCAGGAATCACTAAACCAGGAAAGGAATATTAGAGGAACTAGGTGTTTAGCAAAACAATCTCGATTTTTGTTAGGGTTGGCAGATTTTGCTTTATTTGAGCCACCTGCAGTCAACTACATCCATTCCCAGTCTGCATCTGAGTAGGAATGGACCAGCATGAAGTGCACGACTTGGTACAATCCATGAAGCTGGGGATGGGGGGAGTGGGGGGTAGGGTCTTCCCTTTTGTAAGAAATCCTTACAGTCACCTTGACCCTGTTTCCCCGAGTGTTTTACCCCAAGACTATCGATCTATATCATGTCCTCCTTGATACTGGAAAAAAAAACAATACTAGCTTAGGTGGCTGTGAGTACATGCAGCCAGCAAGGCATTAGTACACCCAGAGCCCATTCTGATCATTGAGTTAGCTATAGGTACCCTACACCCCAAAGCCAACCACAAAAGCAAGGTGCAAAAACACAGTCTATACAGATTGGAGCGCTTGGTTACTGTGTTCCCTCCACTGGGCAATCTGCTATTCTACTTCAGAAGCGTTGTCACATTTGAGAGCTTACTTCTGGTAGTGTAAAGTAGCCACCTATTGCTAATCAGTTTATAGCAAATCAACAAAACCTCAGAAGACAGAAGGAGCTCCCCTTGTCTGCAGCCAAGCCATCAGTCTTAAAAGAAAATAGCCTGCAAACTGCCTTTAAGTAGGATTGCAGCGAGACCTGGCTCTGCACAGATATGCCAGACCAACCTGAATGGTCAAAATCGTTTAGTAAGACATTAAATAAACCACCTCGGTTAAAACTGTTCCTCATCAGCACTCTGACATATCAGACTTGAAGAATCACTGTCTTCAGCCAAATCGTAGTTTGAAAGCACATCGAAATAATGATACTTCAGCTGGCTTCCAAGTCACAGCAGCAGGTTTCCAACTGCAGCTGCCTTACATGTCTGTAAAATTCCCAGACAAAAGAAAACAGTTCTATAAACTAGAGTAAGACAACTTTAGGATGCAATATTTTATGTTTAATATAGCAGTTAATGTCAAGAACTTCAATAGGCTTTGACATGCTGTCAAAGAAAACTTCTTCCAACTGAGCAAAGAAATTGAGACAAACAAGAGTTGGATAGTGCTTTGCCACAAACATCTAGAATGAAAAAAATATCAAGTTTGACTTGATCCATGAATAAAGAATAGGATCACTTCTACAGAAAACTGACAAGTGGGATTAAACAGCCTGTTTAACAATCCAAATCTCCTTTGTTTTGCACCGTTCTGCACAGGGGAATTCCATTTGCAATGGACTCCTCTCAGATTTATGCTGACACGTGCAGTGAAGGCTGTAAAACCAACGCCAAACACAAGACGACATCCTCCTTTTCCTTTGATACAGCCACTTACAAAGTGCTTCTGCAGAGCTCCTGGATTCAAGAACTAGGTTACGTGTCCTACCGGAGTGTTCATACCTTGGAGAAGGGGACTCCCTCTTCCCCACAGCTCCTCTCTGCTGAGACAGAGGAGCAGAAGAAAGTACTAGATGGGTGAAGAAACAAGGGGAAAGAGACCAAAAGGAGGAGGAATAGAGTTGTTGTTCTTACTATTCCCAGAACTCCGGCGTAAGTATATGGAGGAGGTTTTTTTTCCAGAATGGGAAAGGAATTAAAAACCTAACACAAATGATGCAAGTGTATTATGACCATAACACAGAGGAGAAAGGCCTCCGGTTGTAGGGGTGGAAGGAGGAGGGAAGTACAAGCATTTGAGAAGAAACATCCCTGCAGTAGGGTGGTAAAAATGACATTCCCCACAAACACGCAATGTTAGGAGATCCCAAAGCCATGCAAAGGATTGTGAGAGATCCTGCTGCAAGATCACAGAATCACAGAATGGTCGGGGTTGGGAGGGACCTCTGTGGGTCACCCAGTCCAACCCCCTGCCCAAGCAGGGTCACCCAGAGCAGGCTGCACAGGACCTTGTCCAGGCGGGTCTTGAATATCTCCAGAGAAGGAGACTCCACAGCCTCCCTGGGCAGCCTGGGCCAGGGCTCCATCACCCTCAGAGGGAAGAAGTTCTTCCTGGGCTCCATCACCCTCAGAGGGGAGAAGTTCTTCCTCATGTTCAGATGGAACTTCCTGTGCCTCAGTTTGTGCCCATTGCCCCTTGTCCTGTCGCTGGGCACCACTGGAAAGAGCTTGGCCCCGTCCTCCTGACACCCACCCTGCAGATATTTGTAAGTATATATTAGGTCCCCTCTCAGCCTTCTCTTCTGCAGGCTGAACAAGCCCAGCTCCCTCACCCTCTCCTCGTAGGAGAGATGCTCCAGTCCCCTCACCATCCTTGTAGCCCGACACTAAAGAAACTGTCCACCAACAGCTCAGCTCTCTACTTCTTGTTGAAACAACGGCTAACATCAACCTGAACTCTCCAAGTTGGCCCCCAAGCCACAAGAGAGACAGGCACTTGATCGGGTAACGCGGCGGGGAAGAGAGCCTGCCTACTGCGTCATCTTCCCTACTCCTCATGCCCGTGCCCTTTGCAAATAGATTAGCAATGAAGCTTGAGTACAGAAAAATGCAACACACCCACTGTCAGATGGACTGTTTGAGGGAGGTGTTGGGTTTTTTTTATATTTCTACAGTGGAAGTGTATGATGAAATACCCGTCCATTTTCTACATGCTTATAGTTCTGCTCTGTACTTCTATGTGTCATAAATACCAAGTTTTCAGACTTCATTATTCCTTTGGAAAAAAAGCACCATAATTTTCCACATATCACGTGAAAAACAAAAGATGGTTATACTTCTAAAATTCAAAACTGAGTAAGGCTAGCGCCATGCCCTCAGGAATAACACTACAAAGGTGAGTTCATGAACCTTCAAACTATAGATGGGGTCAATTATCAAGGTCATTCATAGTGGTTCTAAATTCCTTTTGGACTAAAACCCACAGCCGTGCTCTGCTGCAGTTAAATTTTGATAGGTTCAGTTCATCTGTTTGGGGGATGGTGCTCGGAGAGGCACACGTTCAGCCATGGGACACGGTCTTCTTTTCTGAACGGGATCTTTCTGCAGTAACAGCACCAACAGCGCACTGCCACCGTTTTCATTTACCCTTGTTTGAACGAATGAGCTATACTTGCATTAAAATATGCAGAACTAGTGCCACGAG